AAACACCAATGGGTCATCTCAAACTTCTTTCTGCCCATTGATTTCTGCTGGGAATAACGTATCCACTCTGGTTTTCCATGGCTGCAAGCATGCAAAAGTCWCTGTGTTAAGAGGATGGTTAATAAACCAAGGGAGTCTCCATAAAACCTGCATTGCACTATGGCTTTGGTCCCTGCCTCACCTCAAGAATGAAGACACRTTTTTGTTTGTTTATGTGCCTTAGCAGGACCTGCACACCAAGCAGTTGGCAACYAATGTAAGCGCGACTTACACGGATGGGTCAGGATTGGAAATTTGGGAGAACAGGGATCATGACAAGGAGGATAGGCAGGTTATCCTAACCTGAATGCGAGGTACTTGTCAGGCAGATAGGAGAGTTATCAARGCTGTTTCTGGCTCCATCACAGCTGATTCCCAAGAATTCTCAAGAGAGTTTTTTAGGGTCTGGACTAGACAGTGCAGTAGGCAACTTCTACAGCTGTTTGATAGGTCCTGACTGATTCTTTTTCATTTGCTCCCTTTCCTAACAGCCTACACAATGATTCCCTGCAATGGTGCAAGTGTGAAGATCGAACTCTGATAAAAGCCTGAAATTCCATGTGCCACTTTTGTGATGACATTTATAATGCAATGTTTGCAACAATGCAATTTCATCATCTTATAAATATCAATTTCCCATTAAGAGAGGAAGGGAAGAATATCAGACAAATGCAAACTTACCACCATTTCTGCTTTGTTTTAATTGAACTAACCTTGTTCAGATAAGCCTGTCTATCTCTTACAAAAACAACAGTTTATAGTTTAAACTGTGAAATCATGTGTGCGCGTGTTGTGTGCTGTAATTATGGTGCCTGCTAACAATTTCATACTGCCACACTGCACATATGGCTTCCAAGCTAGCTTTATCTGAATCTTTGTGAATCTATTCTCCGTGCTATTAAACTGAGCACATTCCACATCGTTCAAAAGTAATTACACTTTTGTCTAGAGTGTAGGAGACTGCTCTCCCCAAACAATGAAATTCTCATTATTAGAGCTGGCACAGTAACGGCACTGGTGTTCACAACACTGCGCATTGTATCATCACAATAACTTATCCTAAGCTTGATGCACAAAGGTACACTGGAAATTAAAATTTCTCTAAAACCACTGTGAGGGTGTTTTTTTTTTTTAATAGGCATTCTTTAACTCAGTATAATTAGAGTCCTATTTGACTTTTTAAAAAGCTATATGCATTCAGATTTCCATTCTCCTCGGAAGTTCTGAATAGTAGCTAAGTGCTCCAGCCGCTTGTTGTTCTGATCCACCACCATTCATATGCTGACAACTGCAGACCAACAGGTGAAGCGCAGACCAGGATGGACGTGATATGAGAATTCAAATGAAGCATTAAACAACCTTTTATTTCAGACAAATGGAGGAAAAGCACGAAGCAATGTGTTGGTAAGCTCTTTGACCAGTAGCACTGCCATTCTTAATATTCTTCCCAAGTTACASAGGAGTAATTTTGATCACCACAGAAACACAACTACTTTTAGTGTGAAGCAACGAAGCTACTGAATAGTACACCATAATATTTCCTATCAATTTAAAGCACTACTGAAAATGAATACTAAATCCCACTGAAAGTGCAGGAAAAATGTGGGCTACTAGTACAGTCATCAGTTTGGAACAACTAGACAGTGGCAATATTACAGTTTACCAGTTTGACCTTTGGATCAGTACTTTTTTTTTTCTTTTTAAAATCACATCCAGCATTTCATTGATATTCTACAGTTAAAAAGAATAGTCTGAACACACCATGCCTGTGGTATACTCTAATCAGTACTTTCAGCCTTGACATCTCTCATTTTCAGAAATTAGCACGCAGACACAACTGGCRATATCAGCAGTCTTGACAGTTGCAAAAGCGGACAAATAGAGCATAAAGGCAGGCAAATAGAAACAAATAAAATAAACCTTTGTAACTTAGATGAGGTAACAACTATCTGTGMTATCCAAATACTGTAGGCTTAATAGGTTTCTTCAAAAGAGCTGTGATTTATAYTGTAATCCTCAAGTGTTTCCCTGCAAAGCTTATGGCCTGCTACGAATGTCCTAAGGGGGCTCTCGGATATATTCTTAGTCAAATAATTTGTCTTGTATTTTCTACTCAGCCATTGTTTTAAGTCTGATAAATTACTGTTTCTTTTCTTATCAGGAGTTTTCCTACTTACAATAAATACCTAGTTTCTTCTAGCAAGGGAACGTTTGGGATAGAGTTACCCCTGCCTTGTCTGAAGCTGGTAGAGATCTCCAGAGGACCTGGTCCAATCCYCCTGTTCAAGCAGGGYCMCCAAGAGCCAGCCAGGGCCATGTTTAGATGACTTTTGAATAGCTCTAACGAAGGAGACTTCACAGCCTCCTTGGGTAACCTGTTCCTATGTTCAGTAATCCTCACACAAAAAAAGCATTTCCTGAWTTTCACAGGAAATTTCCTGCATTTCAGTTTGTGCCCACTGCACCAACCTTTCTCTGGCAGCACTTTGAACATCCTCAGAAATACCCTGATTATTTCTGATGGAAAGATGGGCTTTGCAGATTTTTGCCAATTTTCATTAGATTTGAAGATGTCTTTCTAGGAATTTTACCCTCCTCCTATAAAAATTTACCCAGCATTTTCAGCTGGCTCACTAAGCTGGTAGTTGCTACAACCTGGTAAAGAGCAACAGGGTAATTTTCAGAAGTGTACGTTGGGAACTGTGAGGCTTCTGGAGCTTTATTAATAAAATTGTATCAGACCACACTCTTTGGCAATGTGTGCACACCTGCATACACCTGGATCTGCTTCCCAGAAACTATAAAACAACAGAATGTCAATTCCAACAGTATAAAAATGGCCTCTGGAATGCTGAAAAGTTAATGCCCTYTGGGAATGATCTTTGTCACTGCTAAGCACACAAATTGAAGTAATCTAAACGTTACCCAGTGATTTCCTTCTGATAACTAAATGCCACAGCAGCAGAGGGARTGATTATGTGTATTTTACTCATTTACACTGATCACTTCCTTCTTTCTGGAGACACACAGGCTAAATCCTTTCTGATATACCTGGGTGATGATTTTTAGAACACACTCATCACTAGAAGAGAGATATTACCAAAATGTTACATTCATACAGACTGGCAATATACTTAAATATGTATGAAGACAAAACTAGTCCCTTACAACCCCCGAACTCTACCTCAGGTAAGCTTGCAGTGTGTCACTGCTACAGTGAAACTGTCCAAAACACCCCATGATTCAGTGTGTTGCACTGTAAAAAGACAGAACACACTGTTTTGACATCACATTAAATACAGCCTTTATAGCTGGAAGTCACACTAGATGATCAGCTAAACTTCTTGGTCTTAAAAACTATAAATGAATAAAGAAGTTGGTCAAAAATCAGTTAAAGAGCAGTTAAGTGTTTCAGTGAGGTGTAGCTGAAATATTCCTGCTGGGCTCCTTAGAAAACAGGAAGTTTTTATTTCATTAGGGTCTGATTCTACACTACTGGTGCCATCACAAGTTAATCTATTGACTTAAATGTTGTCACAAACAACTCCTTATCTTCAACACACTCTCTCAAAATAGGCCAAAACATAGCAAAGCTCATACATTAGTTACATACTCTAATATCCCACTGGYTGGAACTATGTATTAATGAATTTCATCTCCATAAAACATAAGATAAAGGACAATAAATAAACAAGCTCAAAAAAAGATAATGACATTGTYTGCCCATGAGTAATTTCTCCAGTGATGTTCTTCATGTAAAGTTGCAATGACACAAACTAAAATTAAATATTCCAAGCCAGTATCTGAGCTTAAGCATTAGCCCAAAAAAGGAAGGAAAATGGATCGGGATCAGTGAGTTATTCTGTCTAGGAAAGCAGCTTCAGTGAATATCCAGTGACTTGGTCCTATGAGAAATAATAATCCCTAAGGCTTTTTACTTAGGGCTTGTTACATATGCATAATGAGCTGTAAGGGCTTAAATACCACTGTGGAGCTGTTGCAGGCTTTTATGAGAATACACTATCACCTATTTTGCAATGCCTTTTTAAAAGCCTTCAAAATATGCAGGTCCATTCATTATCTCCACTTCTAGTGAAATTGTCAGTGCCCTTGTCATAGTGGGGGACTAACAGAAAAGTTACACCCAATTTGTAAACAGGCAGGAGCCATGCAAGCATGTTCACAAGAGAGCTTTGTCGAGGTGCCTCAGTSCTGGGGTTCCAATGCCTTTCCCTGCACCTTTCAACCTTTCTAAAATATCTATCAGTACTTCATGTGAAGGGCCCAAACACATAATAGTGATGCTACAATACCAGTGAGGAACCCAGCATTGTTTTGCCTTTTTTTCAGATACAGCCAGTTCTGGGCTACCAGTGGGCTGCTAAATTTAAAGAATKAAGTGCTTAGTGCCATTTGTAGAATAGAAATTCACAAGTGAAGAAGCAGTACATTGATTTAATTCTGTAAGCACAGAAAATTTTATTGTAGGTGTCTGTGACRTGAATTACACATCAGACGTAARTTTTTAAATCATCAARATTTAAAGTTTYCTTTTTTCACCCTTCATACAGACTTTCATGCTTTACTGTTGCACAAACTTGGCATTAGGGTGATATTTCAGACACCATGCCAAACGTGACTCTCACTTAGAGWGTTCCAAACCCATTTGCTGTTTGCTGAACACATACACTTCCAATTCACATCACTGCAGCTAACAAATTTTAGCGCCCTAAATGCCATCAGGCAAAGGTGAGGAAAAGTCTGCACTGCAAGTGATTCAGCATTTGTCGTGGAGAGTAGAGGCAGCCCAGCCAGGTCAGAGCTTGCACATTATTGTGSTGTGTTCTGTACGTGTAGCTGTGCTTTGTACACTCCATAAAGTACAGATCTGGATGCCAAACTACTGCAGAGGCAGAATTSAAAGAATGGATGTAAGCACAATAGACCATTAGCAAACCTACCATTGTGTTGTGCTGAGAAGTGGGAGTCCTATGGCCACAGTTCTCTTGCGTCAGCAGAGAAACTGGCTGAAATTCCTCAGAGTGAGGCTTGTTGGGAAAACTCACATGCAAGGGAAGGTGAAAGGCTGGGAGCCCGTCACTCTCCTCTTCTCCCACTTTCTGTCTGCTTGTCACCATGGCTACCTCTCCATCTGCTTCCCCATACGGAGAGGCTGGTCGCTTGGAAGACATCCTGGAAGGAACAAAAGAGGAGAAAATAATGAAACCTCCAAATAAATCCTTAATGCCGTCATTGTGTGGTTAGGGGCCATTGTAACAGAAATGCCTTTTTTGTGCTGGCAGAGAGCAGGAAACCATCCAAATACCACTGCAAAGCATACACAATTGGGAACAATGGCCAAGCAGGTAGCAACAGAACAGTGCCTTGTTTGTTGTGAGAATAATACAGTAATATAGCACTCTCTTGTATTCTGGCTTCTTAAACATGAAAATTCACCTAAAACTGCATAATGAAATGCAATTCCTTTAAAAAAATACCCATCTGGTTTTGCATTTGCAAGGGACTCTAAGAAGATAGAATGTCTCCCAATACAAGCTATTGTCAACTTAGCTTTTAAGGAATAATCATCTGCATGTCATTATCAACCACAACTGATAAAAAAAATACAGTAAAATAAAATACAATACAATAAAAGAACTTGCTAGCAAGCCAGAATGTCTGTGTTTACAAAACTTCACTCATGTGAGCAACTGAGTGTTAGAGACATGTTGCAAGGATCTTTCCAGGTTTGCAGATCTGGTATAGTTAAGCAATTAAACATTTGGACATTAATAATCTAAGCTTTTTGACAACATAAAATAAGGACTGTACTGACTGAATGAAGGTTTCCTATCAAATCTTTCTATCGGTATATCAAATATTTCCTACCTATAGCTAGGTCAGAAAAAACCCCGCATGAAAATGTAATTTACATCTAAAACAACATAAAAAAAGGATACGCAAGGAAGATRCATAGAGTGCATATTGTAAAAACAACACAGAAATCTTGAATTAAAATTCAGGCCTATGTTCTGAATTTTTTGATACTGTCTGATAACATGAGTTTGATAGCAATRTGTTTATTTTAAACTTTTAGAAAGGCTGAAAGAAGCTTAAGCCATGGGAAAACTCAGGTGTTATCCAAGACAAGCCCTACTGAAAATCTTACAGAACCCAGAACACTTCCAGCTTGATCTTCAAAAGGGGTACAGCAAAGAATTTAAATGCAGACAAGTTCTGGGATTAATTAYAGCAACATTGTTCACGAAAATCAGGGTATGTGCATGGATGGCATAATGGACCCYTGTGCTAAGCAGGGGCATCTGCAAGGAGTGGAATAAGAAATAAAATATTTCCAGACACAGCCAAAAGAAGTAAAGAAAAATAGGGAAATRTTTCACAGGGAAAAAGAGAAGTTATGGACAAGGAAACTGAAGACTGTTGTAAGCAAAAGTTGACAAAGGGGCTGAAGTAATAATGCTCCTCCTCAAAAATCTTGTATTTATGATTCTAATTACCCCATTTTGATTTTCCACTTCACAGTTAAAGGACTGCATTTCAAAAGCCCAGCAGCCTCTTGAACCATGTGTGGGGCTGCTGTGAGGTGGAGCATGTCCATACGATTTGGCATATTGAGCACGGAACGGTTCTTAGCAGCAGTCAACTGGGTCTGAAAACAAACAGTGACTTTAAACAGCCCTTTGTTAGGACTTAYTTTGCTTCTAATGATCTCATTTTGAGCCTTGCCTCCTGAGCCAACTTAGAGTATATGCAAAAAAAAAAAAAAAAAAAAAAAAAAAAAAAAAAAAAAAAAAAAAAAAAAAAAAAAAAAAAAAAAAGAAAAAAAGAAAAAAAAGAAAAGAAGAAGAAAGTAAAACCAACAACAAAAACTCAAAAACTCCCTGGCAGAACCTGCACTCAGCAAAAAAAAAAAGAAAAAAAGAAAAAAAAGAAAAGAAGAAGAAAGTAAAACCAACAACAAAAACTCAAAAACTCCCTGGCAGAACCTGCACTCAGCTGCACATTGCCTGTTCCGAATTTGCCTGCACCTATTGCTGGTGCTTAGAGAAGCAATCTGTATTTTCTATTAATGTTTGACTTAGTCCAACAGACTAACACTTCATACATCCTACCTGAATTCTGTCTCCTAGGCTTTCCCACCTACGTGTCTGCAGCAAAGCATATGTACAAAGACAGAGATCACCAGAAAGACTCTTACTGGCAGTTTTCTACTAGCCCACTGAATTCAGCATTTTACAGCTATGCTTCATGTGACAGATCTCAAGCTCTTCTGCAGAAACCATACAACTCTCTTCTAAAGTTAATGTGAATTATTCATATTCTGCACTGTACTGCACCAAGATAGACATTTGCTATTGATTTTAAGTTTTTGGTTACTCATTTCAAAGCTGCTTTAATAGAAGCCTGGGCTTTTACAAAATCTCTCTTTCTTAAAATCAGCACTAAGCAGTTGTCTCAATTTTGGCAAACAAAAAGGGAAGGACACAAGATCATTAGTCAATTATTCCACAGTAATACTTTAGAACATTTATATTTGATAAAAGGACTAAAAATATTGTAAACGACGTACAAAAGTCTCCACTGCAATTCACTCTGACAATAAATTATAGAGAGAGAGGATGCCTTGCTTTGTATTGATGATTTGGATTATATATTATATACTCAAACTGTGTCAAGAACTCCTACTGCTGTTAACCCAGAATAACACAGACTCTGTCACATTGCTTCACAAGGAAAGTTTGAAAAATCACGCTTCAATAAAGCTCTTCTGTTAACTTTATATGTGAATATATAGTTTCAGATCATCTTCTGCTTGTCACTGCTCCCAACAGGGATGAAATAATTTTCTGCAGGGAATTTATATAAACAGACAAGGAAGATAATAGAGGTTCACCTCCATGCACATCCAATAAAAGAGATTATTATGCTTTTGATCTAAAAGGAAAACCTATAGGTYGGATTGCAGGCCAAACTAAAGCGATACTAAAGGGTAGAATAAACTTTTCCCTTTGTCTCTAAAAGATCCAGTGGTAATTACAAGCCATGTGCCATCACCATCCTAGAAGACTAACAAATTGATAAAATGGCTACGGAAGCAAAGTTGAGGCTTTAATCTGCATTAGTCTTCCAAGGACACTCAAAGAAATGGAAACATGAACYTGGACAGCTCAGACATCAACTGCAATTTGTTTTCAGGCAGCTCTGTCCGCAGCCAACCGGAGTCAGACAAACATCAGCTTCACAGAAATTTCTTACTCTTTAAGAACATCTGGGAAATTTCYACAAGAAAGGGGAAGACTGAAATAAATAAATTAATAGATCTATATCTACTTTAGGAAATGTCTTCCAAAAGGACAGTAACTATCAAACGCTATGGTAGCAAAGGACCAAATCCCTGACAGGCTCCCAAGCAGAAAACATGMTACAAGAAAAGCAATTTACACATGTCTTTCAGTATTTCTACAGCTTTATTGGTCCATTTTCCAAATCTGAAGTGCTCCCRCATMATGGATTCTTAAATTCACTTCTTTWCATGTATCTTCATTATCCTACTGAGCAAATACCAGGTCTTAGGTTCCGTATCTAAGCTGCAAGTACTGTTCCCATCACAAACAATAAGGAAAGGGAAACAGATAAATTCTGAGTAACAACATTATCTGAAACTGAGCTCTWTTAAACACATCTAGGTCTAATGAAGTACTGCAAGTATCCCATCTTAATAAAGGATTGCAAACATCCTGGATCTACCCACAGCGATAATACAACAGTTTACAACTTACACGACTGCAAGATCTTTTCCTCAAATTTAAACTCAGAGGGGTTTTCATTTAAACCACTCTGAAAGAAGACTTACAACAGAAGAAGAAACATCAGCTTATGGATAGGATTAAAAAGAAAAACAAACAAAAAAAACCAAACAAACCAACAAATCCCCAAGATATAATTCAGAAAAACAGCAATATAGTGGACCAGATTCCAAATATAAAAGGGTGTAGAAGGTGCAGATGTAATCTGTTGCAACTTAAGACTTTCAAGAAGAGTTGCATTTTCAAATGTCATTAATCATTTCTACTGAATAAAAATAGGCAGGTAGTAATTTTTYAGAGAACCTAAATCTGCAAGTTTGTGATACACTGGGACACAGGCGGTACCCAGGCCATTCCACAGACATGTTGGAATTATGAAATATTTGATTTTTATCAACGKTTCAGATGGAACTGAAGATTTAGTTCTGGTGATGAATTCAAATTTGATACTGCTTCCTGTAAAGAGATCTGTTTTCAGAAAGGCTTCTTAATATGCAGAAAAAAAAGGTTTTTTTAAAGAAAGAAAAAAAAAACTAAACATGCTTTTTGTTAAATTTTCATTAAATAAATGCTTTTCCTGGTAGCAAAAATGTTTTTTTTCAGGGAAGTAAAAACCTCACTGTTCTAACTCACTCTTATTCAACAAATATTTTATGTGATTCATGTTACAACCGTCTCTCCAAATATTTCTTTACTGCCCTTCAATTTATAACAGAACCTTGTATGCTGAAATTGATACCCTGTGTCTACTGATCTCAGAGTCTTTGCATTGAATTCAGAATGGCTGGATTTTCCCACTGGAGCGAGTAAGAGCTTCACCACATCCACAWGAATTGTTTCCTCATGCCATCTACATGTATTGGCTCCATCAAAATAATTTCAGGCYACTAAATATGACTACTTTGCTTGGTATTTTTTTTGCCTTGAATTCAGTGTCCCACAAAAGTGAWCTTTCCATGATCTCTCCACTGTTTTTTTTTTAATTATTACTACTTTTAACAGAACCTCATTTAAATGTCGCCCACTACATCTCCATTTGTTCATTGGTTTTGGTTCATTTCATAGATGATTGTACTCCCAAAAGAAATCTAAAGTGGTATTCAGTACTCAAGGAGATAGTGCCCTCTAGCACACAACATGCTTCCTTCCCAATTTGATTGTTCATGCCACAAAATTTCATAAATTTTATGGCATAAAACTCTAATCTTGTTACATTAAGCAAAATACCTCAGAAACATTTCAGATACCCACAAAAGCTTTTGGAGAAGGGGCTTATCCATGTCTTCAAAAGTGACAAACACAGATGTGTCAGGAGAAAAAGATATGAGGCCATAAATCTTGACTTGTTGGGAGTTAATTAAGGGA